GTGCTCTCTCTCTCATTCTCTCTCTCTCTCAAATAAATAAATAAAATCTTTAAAAAAAATAAAAATAAAAATAAAATGGTTCTTCCTATTCTCAGTCTCGCCAGAAGTGTACAGAGTTCCTATTAACCTATATCCTCATCAGGACTTGAAATTGTCTTTTTTTTTTTTTCATTTTTACCAATCTGATGAGTCAGTAATTTTATCTTATTGCAGCTCTAAGTTGTATTTCCTTTATACTAACGTGATTGAACACCTTTTCGTTTGTGTCATTTGGATTCCTCACAGGTTCAAATCTTTGGTCCATTTTTTTTTATTGGGATGCCTTCTTATCAAATTGTAGGAATTCTTTATATATTTTGGATATAAGCCTTTTTTGTTTTTATGTATTGCAAATATCTTTTCCTATCAGGTGGTTTGTCTTTTCACTCTCCTTATTGTGTACTTGAACTGAAATTCATATTTTAAATGTAGTTGCATTCATGTGTAGGGGAGGCAAAAATTTACCTCTATCTCCTTAGAGATGGGACTGGCTGGGACTGAGAATTAAATCAACATAAACAGATTAACAAGAGAAAGGCATACCAATTTTTGCATGTACATGGGAATTGCCATAGGAGAGTAAAGACCCAAAGAAGCAGTTGGAGCAAAACACCTATATACTAAGCTGGACAAAGAGTAGTAAATAGAGAAAATAGGACAATACAAAGTATCTTGAGTCAGAGCGGTTAATTGTAAAGTGACTAGGAAGATAAGGCTTAGTTGAACAGGATTTGTTTGCATACATTTCCCCTAATCTTTGACTCTCGAACTCTCTGTCTCTGGTGATAAGAATGTTTCTTTCTTCCTGGGATAGGCAAGACATCTTTCACATCTTTCAAGGTACCAGTCACTCTTCTGGGCACTTTGACACATGTGTTTTCATTTCACTTAATATTTTAGACTCCGGGGGATTCAGAAAAATGCTTGGAAACAGAATCATTATATGCAAAGCATAAGAAGAAATAGAATTTTCCTTTTTATCACGATCTCAAAAACCCAGCTTCCTGGGGCGCCTGGGTGGCTAGTCTGTTAAGTTCCAACTCTTGATTTCAGCTCAGGTCATGATATCAGGGTCATGAGATTGAGCCCCAAGTCAGGCTCTACGCTGAGCATGGAGCCTGCTTAGAATTCTCTCTCTTCTTCTCCCCTGTATCTCCCCTCACTTGTTTGCTCTTTTTCACTCTCTCAAAAAACAAACAAAAAACACAGCTTCCAAACTGTATTCTGAAAGGAGCCTAGGGAGGGATTTCAGTGGATGGTTATATATGATAGAAAAGGGACGGAACAGAATGGAGTAGCAGAAAACAGTATACACAGTTAATGAAAGGAATGACTCAGGTTTTCATCATAGGTGTCCAGGTGGATCGGGTGGATGGGGTACCATTTGCTGATGGAGGGAGCAGAAGGAGGAACAGAACACAAATTCAGGACTCTTGATTCCAAGTGACAGAATCCCACTGTTTTTACCCACTCCCAACCAGTTTAAGATTTTAAAAGGGGGGAAGTAAGGGCAATTTAATGGCTCATCAACACAAGAAAACCAAGGGTGGATTTGTTTAGGGCACAGCCATGCCCCAAAGTTCAAATGATGTCATGGCTTCCCCTTCTATAAGCTCTCTGTTTCTGCTTGTGGTGTTCATTCCTACTGCTCTTGGCTTCCTCCTCAGAGCTGAAAAAGAAAATCTACATTGTCCTCTAAAGTCATAATCCCAGAGATATAGATTAAGAGGAAACATATCCTAGGATAGCCTGACAGAAATTTCCAGAAACGACTTTGATTGGCCTGGTTTGTGTCAGATGTCCACCTAGATTCGTATGACTCTAGGACCCATTCTGTTCACCACTACTGAATATTATCTTAGCACTAGCCATTTTTCCCCCAGTCTGTCTTCCTATTTAGATTCTAAGCTCCTCAAGGACAAAGAATCACTTATTTTTTTAGCCTGAGCATGGGCACTGTGCTTGGCACATGGTATTGGAGGCTTTAAAAAATGTGTTGGACTAAAACTAGACACATCTAAACTCTGATGGATGTGTAAACTGAGTTACTTCAGTATCTTGAAAGTGTAGCTAAGTGGTATAACAAGAAACCACAAGGTGGATGAAGTAAAGGGTGGAAAAAATCATGGAACATTTATGCTTGGATTTTGTGAAGGCGAATCATACCCACTAGTCTACTAGAGTTCTCTGAATGTGCAGATGGACAAAAGGACAAGGTAGAACAGCAGACCTTACTTGGTGTTTCAAAAAGCCTTTGATAGGGGCGCCTGGGTGGCTCAGTTGGTTAAGCATCTGACTCTTGATTTCGGCTCAGATCATGATCTCTGGGTGGTGAGACCCAGCCCCGCCTCTGCTCCATGCTGGCCATGGAGCTTGCTTGAGATTCTCTCTCTCCCTCTCCCTCTGCCCACCTCCCTTAAAAACAAAACCAAAAAGCCTTTGATAGAATTTTAAATTTCTATTGTTGTTGGTTTTGTTTTAATTTTTTTTTTAAACTGTGTCTAGGAAACAGAACCAAATTCAAGTATAAGTGAGAAAGTGTAATGATGGGGACTGATCTTTTTTAATGAATTATCAAGAAGGGGTATGGACAATAGAATTTTTAGTTTGCATGTAACAACTCTTTCAGTTAATGCAATACTTAGTTGATTAAGACAAAGATAAACTAATGGGAACTACCTTGCAACACAGCCCCCCCATTGTTCCAGAGTCAGGCAGGGTATATCAAGGGTCTGCAGGTCCCTGCTCTGTTTTTTCTTTGGTGATGAGTTCTCTAGCCATACCTGCTCTTTTACCTTTAAGGTTAAAAAAGAGAATAATGTGAGGCACATATTGGCTTTGACCACGCTTTGCCTCATGGAGCAGGCTTCAAAGATAAGTGTGATGTGGTAGATAGAACTCGTGGCCTGGAACCATGACCACTGGGAGACTGCAGTCCCTGTGACCAACCTCAAGTTGTCCTGCCAACTCATGCTCGGTTTGGTTGACTTTCAGCTCCAACCACCTGTAACCTTCCTTCTGAAGTCCGATTCTGGTCCTGTGTGGATCACCCGGCAGCACCAGATTATTGCTGTAAGCAATGACGTTTCTGAGGAAGAGAGCAAAGAAGAGGGGAGTGAGGAGGTGGAAGCTGAGTTACACCCCATTTTGCCTGCCAAGAAACAGGGGGACAGGCCCTAAGTCCTCTTTGGTCAGCTAGTTGCCTGCCACATATGCTATGGACCAGATTCCTGTGCAAGTTTCAGTAATTTTAAATGGGTCTTCTCCATTGAAGAGGAAGGTTGGAGGTGGGGGGGGGCCTCAGGAGCGAAGGGGGTCCCATTCTCCATAGGACCCTAGTGTTCCTCTAATCCTATACCATGCCTAGGGCTTCCCTTTTCTCCAGGAGTGGGAGGAACGCTTAACTTCTATTCTGACCCTCTCCCCCCATTTGCTATGAGGTTCAAAGTCAGCATCTGAAGCTCAGGATTACACATTTTTAACACTTTTTACATTTTTGGATAAAGGTTGGAAGGATGTAAAAAAAAAAAACCAAATTCTCCAACCACATATGAAATGCTTGGATAAAATAATAAAAGACCAGGCGCCTGGGTGGCTCAGATGGTTGGGCATCTGCCTTCGGCTCAGGTCATGGTCCGGGGGTCCTGGGATGGAGTCCCGCATCAGGCTCCCTGCTCCTTGGGAGCCTGCTTCTCCCTCTGCTTCTCTCTCTCTCCCTCTCTCATGAATAAATAAATAAAATATTTTTAAAAAATAATAAAAGACCAAGAGATGATTAAAAACATCACAAAATGCGAAATTGCTCTTATTCTTGTAAGCTTAGAGGTGGTTTGGGAACAACAGAAAGACTCGCTGTGACTTGGAAAGCTTGTTTCTCAAAGGGTGGATGGGGACTGAAAATGAAAATACTTTTAAGAGGATTTTAAATAAATTCCCAGAGGACAAATACATCGGGTATTTCTAAGCCCTACCTGAGAACAGTGAGGGGTGATGTGCCTGGCGACCAGGGTCAGAATGTCTGGACTTCTAGTCTGGGCTTGCTCACGCCTACTTATTAATGCGGCGTGTGTGCCCCAGGGCAGACCACTGAGTATTTCCGAGACTGTTTCTTGGCTGTAAAACGACTATAACCGGAATACCTGTCCCGACTACTTCAAAGGGTGGCTTGGTGTTCAAACGAAGCCATGTATTTAACGGTGTTTCAAGCACTCTAAGGTGTTTAATAAATATAAGGTGTTTTTGTCATGGCATCGCTGGAATTATTGCAAACTCCCAGACAAGGGGCATCCAGGGAAGGGCGATTTGGCTCATCCAAGCAGAGATCATGCGCTTTCATCAATTCTTGTCCCTCATTTACGGAGACATTTTGTTGAGGAAAACTTTTCCGTGTCTTTGAGATTTGTGTTTTAAACTTGCTATGGCAAGTAGCAAGGTGCTGTCTGTAAAAGCACCACGCAGAGGTGAAGATAAACTGCCCAGAAGCCGCCGAAACGCCAAGATTGTCAGAAGGGAGTTTTCCGCGGAAGCGCCGCCTTCTCTGACAAGAACGCAAGCTGTGCGATCGATCAGGATGCCGGCCGCCAAACGGCAGCATGAATTGGTAGAACTGATCGTCCAGTAACTTAGGTATTATAATTCTGTTCTGATACATTTAATGATTTGTCACAGTTCCCCGAAGGAAGCAGGATGTCGCAAAGAGCTTCAAACTCCCGACGTCGCGCGGGGCGCTCCCCAGAGCGGAGAAGGAATAATGCGCGCGCACTCGGCTTGGACCGCCGCCGGGGCCCACGAACCCGCCTCTCCGGCCCGGCCCGGCCCGGCGCGCGAGCGCGCGCGCCGCGAGCCCATGTGACCGCAGGCGCGGCGACGGCGGGGGCGGGCGGGGGCTAGGGCCGGCTCCGCAGCGCCGCGCAGGCGCCCCAGGGCCGCGCCGAGCCGAGCCCCTCCTGCTCCCTCTAGGAGTCAAAATGGCGGCGAGGGGAACCTGGAGCAGCCCTGGAGCCTGAACCACTGACAGGAGCGGAGAGGGCGGCGGCGGCGGCAGGAGGAGGATGGCCGGGGGTGCTGGCGCTGGTACGGACGGCGGTGCTGGTGGCGGCGGCGGGAGCGATGGCCGCGGTCCCAGCGGCGGCAGCAGCAGCAGCGGCGGGAGGAACCTCCGGGGTGAGTGTCCCTCGGTGTCTCTGAGGCTGGGAGCCGAGGCTGTGCCCGGCGCGGCGCGGGGCGTCCCGGCAAGGAAGGGGCTGTGCTTAGGAGGTGGGGGCGCCGGGCTTGGGCTGGGCCGCCGCGGGGGGCGCCAGGCCACCGGCAGGGAGAGGGCGGTCGTCGGTCTTAGGCTGAGGCGGCGGCGGCGGCGGACTGACCGGTGCCCGTGCGTTCCCAGGGGCCGACTGGGCTGTGCGCCGTCGTCCCGGGCGCAGAGGCGCGAGGTGTGGCGCTCGGGGCGGGGAGAGCAGCCCGAGGTGGCCGCGACGGCGGCCTGGCCGGCTCCGGGATCCAAGGGGCGGGACCCGCCGCTCCCAGGACGCCGGGAAACCGCTCCCGAGACTCGGACGCGTGTTTACCCGGCTGCGGTGCTGCGACCGCCCCGGGGTGGGCGTGAGAGCGGCCGGCAGGAATAGGGGAGGGAACAGGCCTGCGGACGGCTGCGCCCGGGGAGGGGAGAGAAGTTAGATCGTCCGGGTAAGTTACTGTTCCGGGATCAAACTGGAATTGCGTTTTGACAGGTTGGGAGGAAGACAATACCTGGTGTTTGATAAAGGAGTCTGTGCTTGGAGTACTTGAATGGCTAAAAGCGTGAATTTTCAGTGCCTTATCGTTTGCACAGCTGTTTACGAGCCTTACCCCGAGGATGAGAACTTTCTCACCGTCTTTTTGGAGAAGCTCTGGGGAGTGTTGTTTCTGCTTTGAACTACAATAGCACCCCTTCACATACCAGCACAGATAATACAGATAATACCGGATTAGGCCTAATTTACAGAAGCAGTCTTGGTTATCTTTACCAGAGAAATGTTCCTTCTGCCAAAACATCTTATTGTCATGAGAAAATAGGCATTTTTACAGAATTACTTAGTTTTTTTCAACTAACAGAATCTTTTGTCTCTGAATGGCATCTGTTTCTTTTAGATTGTTGAAATACATTACTTTCTTCCGGAAATGTGGAAGAAAGATTTGAAATAGCAAGAATCATACATGTTAATAGAAGCTGTGATTAAACTTGTCCTGGAATTTTGGAGTCAGAAAACCTTTCGAGATCTGGTATGACTTGTTTTAAAGCTGAGAAACTAGGCCCAGGGAGATGAATGACTTGCTGTGAGTCCTACAACTGGCTGGGGATTGGGCCAAAACTAGGATCTGGGCCTCCCTACGCCCCCATTTAGAGAGCTCTTCTCACTACACTCTGAGCCTGTTATTCCTCACTGATTGCATTCTTCACCACCAATACTGGTGCCCATCCCTAGGTCTTTGTGCGGTAAAGTTGAAAGCAGAAATGAGAAAGCGCCTCACTCTGATTCTGACAGCTACCCTCAGTTACCACAAGTAACTGATGAGATTGTTTTCCCTAACCTAAATTTAATAAAACTGACATTTCATTTTGAGTTTTCATAGGCCTATAACTATATTTTCACCCAGTTATAGGCATGGCTCATTCTTGCATGCATTCAGTAAAACCCATATGTAAGTCAATATTCTGTCCCACAAAGCCTAACTATTCTGTTCTGTGCCCCAATACCAGCATTTAAACAAGTTTTGTATCAGACTCTGATTGTAAGATTTAAAACACCCATGTTTGCTAGGTTATACCGCCTAGTTTCCATGTATTTTTTTATTGAATTACAGCAGTTTTCTTTGTTGTGTGTCACAGATTAACCTTCAGAAATGCAATAATGTCAAATGATTCTGATCATGTTCTAGGCAGTGAAACGCACATATCAAAGTTGTACCTTGTGTTCAGTTACCCTGGTGATTATTGAAAATCAGCTTTGTGATTTGCGTTATATTAGTTGTGAGAGGAGGAAAAAAAAGTGTAATATATAGACTTTGCCCTCAGGAATGATAAGATGTACCCTTATGAGTCTAGGAGACAATCTAGTACATTCTATTAATACAAAGAATGCTGTAGGTGTTCTGGTTAGAGGGAGATGAGCGAGGCCTCAGGAGTCTAAAGAACTTCCTGGAACACTTGGGACTTGAGCTAGCCTATGAGGGTTTAGATTTACAGAGATACTGGAGCAGTTACTCTGTGAGGGAAAAGCAAGAGAATATGATGTGGAGATTAGCTTTGGGGGAGGGGGATGGAGGGAAACTAGGATGAGCTGGCAGCTGGATTGGGAAACTAAAAGGAAAAAAACCACACAGTTGAAAGGATATCTGTCTGGAAGGGTGTAAGTACTAGATTGAGATTTGGATTTTTTTTTTTTTAAGATTTTATTTATTTGACAGAAAGAGACACAGCAAGAGAGGAAACACACAAGCAGGGGGAGTGGGAGAGGGAGAAGCAGGCTTCCTGCTGAGCAGGGAGCCTGATGGGGGGCTCCATCGCAGGACTCTGGGATCATGACCTGAGCCCAAGGCAGACGCTTAACGACTGAGACACCCAGGGCCACGAGGAGATTTGGATTTTCATCTTCTTGGGCAAGATATGGGGAGCCTTTGTAAGGTTGGAAGCCAAATATTAGTGTGATAAACCAGCAAGATGAATCTGTCGGTGATCTACAGATTGAGTTCGAATGAGGAGAGAATGGAACGAACCAGCGATGACAGTAGCTGTTGCAGTTACCTAAATAGGAAGAGATGAGAACCTAGGCTAGGATAGAGTCCGTAGGAAGGATGCATGGCAGGTGTTGTTTTTGTTTTTATTGTGGTAAAATGTACATAAACATAAAATTTGACATTTTAACCAGTTTTAAGTGTATAGTTCTATGGCATTAAGTACATACACATTGTTGTGCAACCATCACCACCTCCCATCCCCAAAACTCTTCATTTCTCCCCCCTGAAACTCTATACCTGTTAAACACTAACTCTCCATTTCCCTTACCCCCAACCCCCTGGCAACCATTATTTGTATATTTGTTTGTATAAATTTGACTACTCTAGGTACCTCATGTAAGTGGAATCAGACAGTCTTTATCCTTTTGTGACTGGCATGATGTTTTTAAGGTTCATTCATGTTGTAGCATGTCAGAATTTCCTTCATTCTTAAGGCAGAATACTATTTCATTGTAGGTATGTACATCCATTTTTGTTCATTTATCTGTCAGTGGATACTTGGTTTGCTTCCACCTTTTAGCTGTTATGAATAATGTTGCTATGAATATGAGTGTACAAATGTCTGTTTGAGTCTGTGCTTTCATTTCTTTGGGGTATATACCCCCCAAATTTTACATTCCCACCAGCAATGCACAAAGGCTCCAATTTCTCCACATTCTCACCAACACGTGTTGTTTTCTGTTATTTTGGTAACAGCCATTCAAATGGGTGTAAAGTAGTTTATCATTGTAGTTTTTTTTCAACTTAATTTTTTTAAGTAATTGCTATACTCAACATGGGGCTCAAACAACTACGACCACAAGTCACATGCTCCACCGACTAAACCAGCCAGGTGCCCCCATTTTAGTTTTGATTTGTATTTCCCTAATGTTTAATGATCTCTTCTTGTGCTTATCAGCCTTTTGTATATATTCTTTGGAGAAATATCTATTGTGCTTGTTTCAGCAGCACATATACTAAAATTGGAATAATACAGAGGAGATTAGCATGGCACCTGCGCAAGGAAGACATGCAAATTCATGAAGCATTTGGACTGTTGTGTGTCTTGGTCACTTCATTGTGCACAGTACTTGCACAAATACATGAAATGATTAAACAAACAAACACTTCAAGGATCTGATTACTGGTGACTGAGGGCACCATATTTTCCAGGTTCTTCAAATACTCAGTAACCATTAATTATTTGATATCTCATGCCATATTGTAATAGTATTACTAAATTTTCTACTTTCAAAAAAAAAATACCTACTAAGTTCTTTTTTTTTTGAAGATTTATTTATTTATTTGACAGAGTGAGAGAGCACAAGCAGGGGGAGCGGCAGAGAGAGAGGGAGAAGCAGGCTCCCTGCTTGGCAGGGAGCCCAATGCAGGGCCATTCAGGGCTGGATCCCAGGACCCTGGATTCATGAACTGAACCAGAGGCAGACGCTTAACCAGCTGAGCCACCCAGACGCCCTGCTATTAAGTTCTTTTACCAGTTTTTAATCTAGTTGTTTGCTTTTTTTGTTGAGTTGTAGGAATTCTTTATATATTCTGGATATCAATCCCTTATCAGATATAGGATTTGCAAATATATCTGCCATTCCATGCATACCTTTTCACTCTGTTGAGTGGCCTTTGATTCATTTTGGTGAAGTCTAACTTACATAGTTTTTTTGTTGTTGTTGCTTATGTTTTGGTGTAATATCCAAGAAATCATTGCCAAATCCAAAGTTACGAAGCTTTCCCCCTAAAAAACTCTTATGTTTAGGTCCTTGCATGCAGATATCCAGTTTTCCCAGCACCATTTGTTGAAAAGACTGTGTTTTTCCATTGAATGGTTTTGGCATCCTTACTGAAAATGACTTGATTATACCATGCAAGGGTTTATTTCTGAACTCTCTATTCTATTGGTCCGTGAGTCTGTCTTTATGCCAGTATCACATTGTTTTGATTACTGTAGCTTTATAGTAATTTTTGAAATCTGGAAGTGTGAGACCTCCAACGTTGTTCTAATTCAAGATTGTTTTGGCTGTTTGTGGTCCTTTGAGATTCCAAATGAATTCCAGGGTGGAATTTTCAATTTTTGCAAAAAAAAAAAGCCATTGGGATTTTTTAAATAGGGATTGCATTAAATTTATAGATTGGAGCGTATTGACATATTAGGTCTCACAGTCCATAAACACCAGATATCTTTCAATTTATTTGTATCTTTAATTTCTTCCCACAACATTTTGTGGTTTTCAGTGTAAAAATCTTTCATCTACTTGGTTAAGTTTATTCCTAAGTATTTTATTTTTTTGATACTATCACAAATAGGATTGATCTCTTAATTTCCTTTTTGGATTATGCATTGTTAATGTACACAGCTCATTTTTGTGTAACTTTTTATCCTGCAGCTTTACTGAAAG